GATTAGAAGATTATTATGGTATATATATATATATATATATATATATATATATATATATATATATATATATATATATATATATAACTTTAGTACTCAACATTCTTCTTCTTTTATTTAGATGTGTAGACCCATGATGTTTCATACATTACATTCAATCTTTTGACACATTTTTTTTTCCAGGTCATTTGCTTGAAAATTTTGCATGTGGAAGATTTCAATATGATGAAGAGTTGTCGAAACGATTTGAAGATATTATCTGATAGGATTAGTTATATCAGTTCAATCAATACAAGTTTATTTTAAAAGTTGTGACATTAATATTTTGGATTAGTACTTCCTTTGAATTGAGTAGATTCAATGAGATATATTTTGTTTTATGAATTAATAATATTATGTTTCTAGCATTTGCCTACCTTTGTTTCCACCAAGAGACACACGTTTACTATTAGCGACATTTAGTTGAATTTACTTGCCATTAAAATAGAATCTAAAAGGTCAAAATAAGATATTTACAGGAAGGATACAATAGTCATTCTAATTGCCACAAAATTTGTCGTTAAAACTACTGATGTTTAGTGGCAATTTAATTGGACTTATCGGCTATAAAAATGGACGCTATAGAAGTGTATTAGTTTGCTATGGATTTAAGATACCGGCCAAAAGTATTGCCACAACTAATTGCCGATAAAACTAACGATCTTTAGCGGTAATAAATCATACCATTTACCAGCTTTTGTGAGAATGGCCGCCAAAGGCTTTGTCGACCCCCGTATTTCCGGCTAAATACCATTGGCCGGTAAAGGATATAGCGGCTATTGTTATTGCTGCTAAAGATATTTTGTAGTGCCGCTAAAGCCCATTTTTGTAGTAGTGGCTTTGCAACTCCCTCAAGTCGGGGTTTTACGCATAGCATTAGCGCATGGGCAATCATTTCCTTTACTACCCAATTACTATCCTCAAGTTGTTACTTAAGCGCACTAATTGATTCTAAATTGTACCCTCTGTGTGCACTACCTGTCCCTTACCTATGGTCCTGGAGGCATTAGGACCTCTATTTGGGACAGTTCTAGACCAATCCTATATTGCTAAAAATGTAAAATCTAGGCGACAAACAAAACAAGCAGAACTTTCAAATAAAGCAAGTATGGGCTCACATTGACCTCCACACATAGGCAACAAAAGCACGCAATTGAATCAGCAAACTTGATTAACTTTGGAATTCTATAGGCTCATCTACGTGAGACAACAGAGCGTAAAGACAATTTTATTAAGGCGAGCATTGGGACCTATTTATTTGCCTGCTAATTTTATTCAGCATAGATCTGGGCATTTCAGGCAGTAGTATGTCATAGTTTTAAACCCAGAATCATTAGGGAGTCCTGCGGATACACTGCCTAAGTGACTTACAAGAGCGCTTGAATTCAGAACAGACTAACAGGATCATATAGGCATGATTTCTGCTTGTAGCACTGATTTTAACTCGTAAAGACAGTTTTATTCCTTTTAGATCCTATAGGCATGCTTTCTAATTGTTGAATTAATTTAAACCCCTATAGGCATGATTTCTAATTGCGAGGTTGATTTAAACTACTACAGGCAGGATTTCCAAGTTTCAGAACCGGTTTCACTCTATAGGCATGATATCGATTAGTTTTTTAAATCCTATAGGCATGATTTCTAAGTTTGAAACCAATTTTTATTCCTATAGGCATGATATCTATTTACCGTATATGGACAGAAATTAACAGCTTGTTATGAAAGATAATCAACAAAAGCCCTATAGACATGGTCACTAATGCACATTGGGTAAAAATATGTGTAGATCCTATTAACAGGTTTTCTAATATACAGAATTAAACGTTAAGTCCTATAAGCAGGGTTTCTAGCATGCAGATGTGCAACATAGAATTAAAATGATCATGAAAAATCCTATAGGCAGGATCTCTAAACACAATATAATATAATTCAAACAACATAATTAAACCTATAGGCAGGATCTCTACCCAGTTTCAATAAAGGTATAAAAAATCCCCCCCCCCCCCTCTCCAGCTTTTACTAATAAACCCCAAATCTGTTATTACAAAAATTATTACAGCCCAGAATGAATGAATTACGTAATAATAATGATTACACTATAGGGAGCCTTCATAGGCCCAATCTAAACTTGGGAACCAGGCCTTCAAACACAACAGCTCTGAAGCATAGCAGTGATCCATTCACAAAACCAGGCTTCCAGTGTGTCAAAGTTCCCAAAGAGCCTCAGGGACCCCGGGCAATGCTCACACCAGAACCACACATTCAGCACAAAGTTCATAGAAGATTGGAAAAACCAGCCCCAATGTGTCAGAGTTCAAAAGAGCCTCAAGGACCCTAGGCAGTGCTCACACTGGGGGTGGTGAGAACCTAAATGACTAAGAGTAGGAGTTTGAAAATAAGTGCATAAAGATTAAGGGGCAAGTTTTGAAATAGTTCAATTTTTAGAGGAGAGACAGTTCAGAATACAGAGTTGCAGACAGAACTGCTCTAAGAAACAAACAAGGTTCAGGTTCAGCATACAGTTCAAACATGGTGACATCTAATTAAGCTAGATACTCATGCTAGTATTATAACAATCATGGCTTAAACACAGAGACAGAAACACTTGAATTAAACAGGCAGGACACATGAATTAAGCCACAAACATATTTGATACATGCTTATAGTTCAGAATAGATATAAACTGACAAACACATCGAACCTTAAATCAACTTATGGGAGGATTCCTTTTATTCTAAATAACTTAGTCTTAAGCATAGCAGCATTATCAAATTGCCAGATAAAGGACAGAATCATGCTATGAATTGAAACAGGCTAGTCAAACAAAGCATAGAGAAGAAAATTGTAAAGGTTAGGGCATACCAGTTGAGAAGAAAGCAAGTAAAGGTGCAGTAATAGTTAAATTCCAGAGTAATTTGGCCTTGGCTTTCAGCCGGCCAAACAATAGCCACTTAGTGCAGAAATCAGAACAGGAGCAAGAGAGAGCTTAAGTTTTAGTAGTGAGAATGGGAGAGTTCTAGACTTGTAGTGTTGTTTAAAGGGAGTGAGGAACGGGGTTTAAATAACACCCAATGAAGTAAACAAATAAGGTAATGAACCAGTCCTACCCAAATAAGGTATAAAAATAACTTAACAATTAATTAAGGTCGGCGTAGATCAATTAACATGCCTAAAATTAGGCTAGCCTCAGTTAATGGGATCAATCAGTAGTCAAATAAGATAAGGAATAATTCCAGAATCAATTAGAAGTCGACTTTAATAATCAGAACATAAAATCAGGCCAGTAATCGCTACTACTAAAGGAAAGAACAGGTAAATAGAATAAATAAACACCACGGCTAATTCCAAATCCTAATTTAGGTAAGTAAAATCAGTTAGCAATTAATCAACAGAGTTAAAGGCAAACAAGTAGAAACAATAAGAATGAACAAATAGTCGGAACCCTAAGAAAATAGGCAGAAATACAAAAACAAGTAAAATCAGTAAAATAAATAAGAAAACCCTAACGGATACCCAGAGACGAAAATATTTAAAAGTTAAAACATTTATTTTGCAAAATCTGTTGAAATCAAAAACCTAGTTTTAGGGTAAATAAAATCGGTCAAGATTAATAATAGCAAAAGGCTAGAAACTATAGAGACAGAAGTATTGAAATTTTAAAGAAGAAGTACCAAAACGAACATAAAATCATTTCAGATCTGGGAAGAACTAACCAGATTCAACCAAAAATAGCTAGATTCATAAAAATACACAGAAGTCGAACCTAATCTGGTTTGAACTAGAGATTTGAAACCCTAAGTTACGAAAATATTCGTACTCACAGGTATTAGGATGAACATAGTCGGAAATAGCCAAGATGAGAGATTTTGAACCATATCTGGTTCAAGTCTCTTGAGATTCACTTGCCATTTGAGGCAAATGAATCACGTAACATCAAGATCGGGTAGCCAGTAAAGAAACAAAGCCAAATAAGGCAGGGAATCAAGGGAATATCCCATGAATCGAAAGGGAAAGTATGATGGCGGGCTAGGGTTTGAGAGTTAAAGAGGTGAGGAGATGAGAGGATTAGAAGACCGCGGATGGGGGAAGAAATGAATTAGGGTTTGGCGGGTATTTGGTATATTTAGAAGGGATGAATGATTTAGGGTCGTTGATCTTCTGAGATCAACGACCAGGATTTGATTTTGGGTGGGGCGGGTTTAATTTGGACGGGTATGGGTATGGGTAGTTGGGTTAGGGTGTTGGGTAATGGGTTATTGGGTTATTGGGCTGGATAGGGTATTGGGTTGGGTAGGTCCGAAAATTAATTAGGAAATGGGCTATATTTTAAATACCCATTTAAATTACTAAAATAATTTATAAATGATAAAAATTTCATTTGTGCATGAAAATAATTTAAAATAATCACTTAATATAATCAAAATATAAAAAGTCATTTTCTGTATAGATAATGTAATTATGCATATATATGGGCTATTATTGCAANATAAATGATAAAAATGTCATTTGTGCATGAAAATAATTTAAAATAATTACTTAATATTATAAAAATATAAAAAGTCATTTTCTGTATAGATAATATAATTATGCACACACACACACACACACACACACACACACACACATATATATATATATATATATATATATATATATATATATATATATATATATATATATATATTGTGGCTATTATTGCAAAATGTGCAATTCTAGCCTTAAAAATGCAAATGTAATTATAAAAAATGCAATTAAAATATTTAAGCATTATATAGGCATGAATGATAATTTGGAGGATTAAATCATCATAAAAATGATATGGGAAATAATTATTGGATATATTTATAATAAAAAATGCAGAAATAAGTTGATTTAAAGCTTTTAAAATTATAGAAAAGTTATAGAAATACTTGGGCATGTTTGTAAATATAATAATAATCCATATGCACTATTTTGAAGGTATATATGCATATTTAAAAATATATGAGGAAAAAATTGTGTATCAACAACTGCCCCTCTTTACCCGGGAAGGATGAAAGAGTTATCGGGTAAAGAAATGATGACCGATTTTGTTCGAATGGAGTGTTTTGGAAAATATAGGCCGCACCCTGGTCTCTGAGCTGCCTACATATCCCTGGTTTTACAGGAATCAGGCCGTGTGTAGTTCTGGACCCAAGGTGAATGAAACCGATAGAATTGTTATAGGAATGACCGTATGTTTTGGCTTTTTTGGGTAAGACAGTATCGGATGGATTTATGCAGAGTTATGAATGTGAATCTGAATTGTAACGGATGTATCGCATGGCAGATATCTGAATGATCATAGAGTAAAGTCGAGTAATTGATGAGAATCGGTTACGTTTGAAATAACAGC